CAGGCTAGGTCATGTGGGAACGTTCGGACGAGAGAATGAAGACGTGGGATGAGAGACAAGCCAGGACGTGACTGAAGCCGATCAGTAGGTGCCTGTGGGTAAGGTACTTCAGCTGAAGGGAAAAACACTGAAGTGCTAGTAGGGAGAAGAGTTGCGGGTCATCCCAACCTGACAAGTAGCTGCGCATGCCCAGAGCAGCAGCGATATACTGGTGGTTGCAAAGAGCACGTGTGACGTATTATTAACCTGTCCCCCTAGCTACCTTAACCTCAGTCCTGCTCAGGGCTGGCTTTTAAGGCCGTTCAGACAGCGAGTTTGGCATGGCGGAAGGGGTGGGGCAAAGGTGTTTTGGCGGGTGGTCATGTAGGCAAGGCATGGTACCGAGTACCTCCCGGTTGCACCAAGGGTCTACAGACCGAGTATCTCCTGTCTACTTTACCCGACAGTGAAGTCTCCGCCCTACCTAGCCAGCCGAAGCCCACCCCCACGTGTTTCGGAAACAAGCTTCACGAAGGTGGCAGAACGTGTTGAGGGTGCTTGCACAGAAAGACCGACGTCAATTTACACCAAAAGAACAGCGTAGCCACACCAAAAATCATCTTGTCTTCCCCGACACCGACGCCGCTGCCGTCTATGTTGTCTGAAAAAGGACGAAGTTTCAAATCTACGAGCCAAAGCACGTTACGGCTTCCCCGTTGGAAACCAATCTTGTCTCTGCACAAGCGCCCCAACCGATCTCACCGCTTCGGCTTGTTGAATGGTTTCTGGGGTACACGATAAAGTCGTGGCTTTGAAACACAGCTACTCTATCCGCCTAACACTACACGGGTGGGGCGCAGTTTGACGACTCAACGCCTAGGCTCACATCTTGTCACTTGAGCCTCTCCCCGCCTACGCATCTCGAGGTCAAACGTATTACTATACAACATTTCGAGCATCTAATTGCGATCAGCGTGGGGAAAGCAAGACGGGCATCCTTCGCTTGCGTTGAGGCAATACCGCTTAGGTACCATAGATGCGCTATACACGTTGCTCAACCAGCAATTTATTCGGCTGCCGCAATGCTCTCCCACGAGACTTGGCAAGCCAAGTTCCGCTTTTCTATCAGGAACCCACAACCGTTCTACGAGTTCGCATCCTTGTTGCTCTGAGAGCTCGCGCTCATGGGTTGTGTAGTTGGCAAAGACATCTTGGCCGCCTCGCTCTGGCGAATTCTGGCCCACGCATACACGATGCCGCTGACGAACCCAATAATGATAGCCGACACGCTGCCAAATGTGACCGGCGCATCGAAGAAGACGAGGCCGCTTATGGCGATGGGAAGTTTGTTGAGAGCGCCAACCACGGAGTATGTCGTAGAGGAGGTGACTCGGATACACCAAGCCGAGCAGTACGAAATAAAGATTGCGCAAAGTCCTGAGTAGATCATGCCGACGAAGAGGCTGTTGCGAGTCTCGATGGGGAAGTTCTTAGCGATGTTCGCTGACGACCAATCCTCCGTCAAAAGCGTGCAAACGATGAGGACAGGGATTGTCAACAAGTTGTTGTAGAACATTGCTGTATGAAGCATTTATCAGCCATCGTCCTCTGGGCTGTCGCATGTAAACAGCCGGGGTTCTCGGGGTAGCTTACTGTCCCAGTCCTTAAAGTTCATCTTCTTGATGACCTTGCGCATGCCGAGCACGTATGCGGCTGTGCAGCAAACATTCATCCCCATCCAGGCGTATCCGGCATTCAACGTCGAGACAGCAGCAGAAGCCTCAGCAGTGTGCGAGCCGCCACCCAGCGCGTGTTGAACATCAGCCCAAGCAGCCACGACAGAGCTGAGAACCATCAAGCCAAAGGACAAAAGCGAAAGGGGGCTGACGCTTCCGCCAAACCACAAAACTTCGCCATATGCGATGACAATGATGGTCAGATTCTTGAAGATGGTGTAGACGGGAACTGAGAGGAATTGGAGGGCCTTCGTGCCTGTGTAGATCATGCCGACGAGTAGAAGCGCGATAGGAAACCCTGTGGGCGTGTCAGCCTGCACTACACAGCTTGGTGGCTTTCGAGTAGTGTGTAAAGTTACATTTCTTCGCTTTTCCCGTGTCAAAAGGAGCCAGGTTCGTGATCATTCCCAGGTTCTTGCAGACGACGATGGTGAGGATACAAACGATGGACTGCATAGCGCGCGGTTAGCAGCATCCACAGGAGGGGGCCATTGATGAGCATACCTGAACGGCGAGATATAGGAAGTTCAGATTCCAGAACTGACCCGAGACAACGTACTTGTTGACCACAGTCATACTAATGGAAGAGAAGCAATAGGCCAGGATGGAAACGCCAGGGCTGTTATCGATCTTGCTCAGAGGCGAGGCCAGGTTTGATCTTGGCCTGGGAGGTGGTCGCTGGGACAAGAAGCCATCCTTTTCTCCACCGAACGAGTCGGACCCGCGCAGCTCGTAGTCCTCATTCTTCTTGTCCGACATGGTTGGCGATGGTTGAGATTGTTAAATAGGTGTTGTCGGTGATGAACGCAAGCTGGCTTCAGTTTCGTTGGCTCGAGCTTGGGGCTAGAGAATCGGGAGCACGATTGCGCCTGACGGGAGAGAAGGGCTGAGTCGTCAATTCGTGAGGGGCAGCTCTGGAGGTTTTGTCGACGGGAGGCAGTGGATTTATGACTTGCGTCAAAAATGATTGATGTCCTCGGCGAGCCGTTCCTCGTACGGCGGGTTGCAACTGAAGAGCAAAGTCTGGCTGCGGGACGAAGATGTTGCGAACAGGAACGGTGCACAGCGTAAAGGGGGCACGGAGATATTCGCGAGCGAAGACGGGCGGTACGGGAAGGGAATGCAACGCAAGGGAACACGCGTGCACCTATCAAGGGTCGTGGAATTTCATGCCACAAATTGCGGCGTGGCCAGGTTCTCTGTATCCGTGCTCATACAGGCTACAGTGTCAAAATGCAAATTGAGATGCTGGGCCGCTAGTAGTGCTTCGGCGGGCAGCGCTCTCCCCTGGTAATGGGTTGACCGGGCTATAATGTGAAGCAAGGGACCACATTTGGTTCGGCTTCATGTGGATAATTGCATTTTTAGACTGGGGATATCTTCTTATTGCATTTCCAGTGCGCCAGCTCTCCCTCCCTGGGTAGTGAGGTAGTTTACTACGTACCTACTTGAGTAGGTAGGTAGGCATGTTCCCGTCCCAGGCATGTGGAGACACCGGGGAATCTCAGGCGACGGAACCTGGGTCGGCATGTTGGTACCTACTGGACGCCTAGCTTTGACGGTGATACCTTAAGATCGGCATGCTCTCAACCGCACAGCTCAACTCCCGGGACATGACACCTCCAACACTCGCCGTACGAATTGCCAAGAGCCAAACTTGCTGCAGTATCTTCGCCATTTAACGCTGGAATTTCATCTTCTGGCCGTCCCATCGATCCCGACACTAGATGCACTTGCTACAAATCGTCTCGCTATAACATAGATCAGGCTTTGTCTTCTCGAGAATTTTTTAAAAGACGATGGACGTATCAAGCGAACACAGCGCAGGTCATTCGACAACAGACGGCGCGGCTAGAGCCAAACTTCAACTTCCAGCAAGTTGTGATCCACCTCAATTCGAGGCCCCCAGAAAACAACTGGTGTGGGTGGTGAGTTCGGAAAGCCTTGTAGTGACCTATACCGCATCTAAACCCCTCACAGGTATTCGGTGGCACTGGGCATATGGGCCGGTCACTCGTGAAGTCCGCCTTATCCCATGGCGACCTCGTCACTTCTGTCGGTCGAGTCTTTGAGACGACTCCCGAAGATATGTCAGCACAGGACAACGACAGTTGCCTGGGTCTCTTGTGTGACGTACGAGCCAGAGATTCCGTTGCCCGCGTTATCGAGAAAAGTTTGGATCGGTTTCAGCGGGTTGATGTCGTCGCGAACTGCTCCGGGTACGGCGTAATTGGGGCCTGTGAGGACCAAGACGAGCATGAGATCCGGAACCAGTTCGAGACCAATTTCATGGGTACTCTCAATATCATACAGGCCAGTCTGCCCTACTTTCGCCACCAGAACGCTGGTCGATATTTGATCTTCAGCTCAACTTCAGGTGCTCTGGGCGTTCCGGGTCTGGGTCCGTACTGTGCTACCAAGTATGCCGTTGAGGGTCTCATAGAGGCCATGCTGTACGAGACCGACTCGTTCAACGTAAAGGCGACTCTTGTCGAGCCAGGTTTTGTGCGAAGAGACGAGCCAGATACAATGCCCACGCCTCTACCGACATGGGGTCACTTCCTCATCAAACCGGCCAGCGAAGCCTACGCACAAGCAACCTCACCAGCCCTGCATGCAAAGCGAATGGTCCAATGGCTAGGAGATCGGCAACCAACAAGCGCCGTCAAGTGCGCGGAGCTTGTTTGGCAGCTCGCTCACTGCTCATATCCTCCGCTGAGGTTGCTTCTTGGCAGCTATGCCATTGAAAGCATACGGGACAGGCTGCGGTCGGTCACCGAGGAGCTCGAGGACTGGAAGCATCTGAACTTCCCAGTTGCGCCTGAAACGGGTGTTGAAGCGGATGGCAAGGACAGCAAGGCAGATCACGATGAGTTCATGGCCGATTCTATCCAGGATGCACAAGGACAAGTTACGACATGAGGACAGCATACATGTCCTCATGAGACAACGCGCCAGCTGGCCAGAGCAAAACCATATTCCAGGTCTTGCGTTCGAATGCACCTTCGGCAAACGCGATAACGTTATGTATCTGAAACGAAGTGTTTAGTCCGTGATATCCCACTTACTGATACGTGGAAATACCCTGCAGTCCATCCCACGGTACGAGACACAAACTCCAACACGCGTTGTTGAGTACATGATGGGCATGGTCAGGAGTTTCCAGGCTCTCTTTCATGCGCAAGAGTTCTCAATTCCCTTTCCACTCGCGGCTCATCATTGGCTAGACTGTCGAAATACAAAAGGGTCACATGCCCCTCAGACTCCTCACTCGTCACCTCCGGTCTATGCCGGCAAACTGCTTTGAAGATATTGCTGGACATACTCTTCCCTGTGCGGGTTCACATCAAGGTCTGATGTGCGATTCAATGGTGTCCACTTGGGCTCATCCTTGAAAAGCCTCATTGCCTTGATATACTTTATAACACTGTTAGCAAGATTTTGACGTCGGGAATGTTCGAGGGTCATCACTTACATTGGAGTCGTCAGTGGTAAATCGGTGGTATATGCCTGCAGGAAGGATGATAAGATCGTCCTGAATCCTGGTCAGCCGTCTAGATCGAACAATTCCTGCCAAAACGTTTGCCGGAGAAGACAACACACCTTCTCGACACGAATTCGAACCCATTGATCGTCCGCACTCCTGACGTCAAAGAACCCGTGACCATCGCGAACATAGCGGATTTCCTCGTCCTCGTGTAGGTGCTCATGGAAGAAGGACTTGACTTTCTCTTCGTAGACATCGCCCATCTTCTCCGGCGAAACAATAATCTCATCCCTGTTCCTATATCCTCGGTCCAACGCGAGTTTGTTGACGCCATCAATGTTGGGGATCTGATGGTAGTAAACGCCAAGCTTCTTCAGCTGTTCGACCGTCACCTCTTTGCCCGAGTCGTGCGCTAGACGCTGGTCGCCCTGCAACCAGTAAACAAGTTAGCTCGATGAGTACGTAGCCATTGGCAAGCCGACAGCAGTTGTTTCGGAAAGCCCACTTACAGCCAGATTATCATACCAATAGGCCTTCATGGTTTGTAGTGTTACGAGGGGTGATTGATCACGTATGGGCACAAGTTTCGGGCGGGACAGAGGCGAGAAATTTGGCCAGGAAGTAGGAAGTTGTTCAAGTGCAGGAAAGTCTGTATATCCAGTGGCTCCCAAGGAAACAGCTACCGAGTCGATATGTTGGCGGGATATTGAATGGTTAAGAGAAGCAGGACGAATAAAGGTTTGATTAGGGGTGGACTTTTACAATGGAAATGACGCAATTGGCTGTGAAGGTGGGGTAATTTGCTACCCAACACGGGCAGCACCACACTCACCTACCTAGATACACTAAGGTAGGGAGTTGAGAGTTGCTTCTGGCACTCCGTCGTCCAATCTTCAGCGGGGCATCAGCACGTGGTTCTCAAGGTGGTAGGTACCTTAGGTACTCTAGCCCTCCGCCTGCATCAAATCCTCCCGTCTCCCGATGATGCTCGCTGCGGATGCATCTGAAAAGTGAACGACACCTTGACAGATTCACACGAATAAACCGATAATGCACGCCAGTGTAGCCCATTCACAAGAGACATCCGATCGTGCTTCAAACAACTGGAGAGGGGGATTCGAATGACTCTATAGTATGCCTCTAAAATGCAATATGCTTCAAGCTGGTACCTGTCGTGTTCTGTTTCCCCGTGACTGACTGGATGGCCGGGCATGCTGGTGATGAAATCAGGTGAATGCGAACAGGCAGGCGTGCTGTAGCGTTGCAACCGACTGACCCAAACGCCGCGGTAGCCACTCCATGCTGTGGGCAAAGCCCCTCCCTCCCGGTATCATGCGTTTCTTCAGTAAAGGGCTGATTCCTACTCGCCTTTCATCGAACCTCGGGGGCGAGCTCTGGACCGCCCGCAACGACAATGTCATTGTTAATGCCATCTGCAGTCTCATCCGCTGGTCGCCTCTCGAACAGTCGCCTCCACCATCCTGGGGGGTCAAATGGCCGCGAACCATTGTGCAGGGGTGGATAGACATCGGAGAAGAAGTACCAGATGTGGCCGATAACGACACCCATGATCTCATCCTTGGGAATGGAGCCGTGCAGGATCAAGCTAAAGGCCATGAGAACCCAAGGAAGGTATGGAGCTGTGAAAACCAGCAGGCCCAGAAAGCTCAATCGCGTATCCGGGTTCCGTCGCGACCATATGTAAACCAGAGTTGATGACAGGGGATGGCCAAGAAATGGCATTGACACCAGCGGGGACAGAAGTAGCAGGCTGGTCATGGCGTAGACCAGGAGCCATGAGAAATGAGCGGGCGAACGGCCTGAAGATTCCTCCAGAAGTCGGGCGTATCGCTGTAGGAAGTAGACGTGAAAGAGGAGATCGAGGGAGAAGGGCCCAAAATAGAGAAAGGTCGTCAGAAGACGCCAATACTACAAACAGAAACACCAAGACATTAGTTACTTGGGTTTTCAAAGCGGGCAGCGAGAGAGACCGTGAAGCACCAACCTGTGACTTGGCGAATACTGCTCGGAAGCTGTAGAATAGCTGGAACGGAGTCACCATCTGGCACTGGACCAATGCGCTAGTCAAAACAGTTGCTGTTGTCCACCATCTTGTGCAGATGGGCATTTCCCAGAACCACGTCTCCAGAGGGAAGCGGCCCCCGTCACCCATCATCTGATCCATTTTGTGTGGGAAGGCGTTCGAAGGATGATGTGCTTCAGAGAAGGCAGGCTGAAGATCGAGAATGTACGCGCATCGCCCAAAAAGTATGGCTCCCAGGCGTCGCAGCGAAGTTGGGAATGTCGGGTTCAAGCAATCAGAGGCGGAGCAAACGGGTGCAAGCTGTGGGGTATTGGACGTGGATTAGCAGGGCGAGAGGCAGTGGCTGGGAAGAGGATAATTTCGTTCTGAAGAAATTCAGGAAGAAATGCACCCAAGTTGTCCTTTGGCTGTCGCCCTGGGTTTCGTTGGGGTTCGATCCTTCCGACGTTGCATGTGTAGGTTTGGAGAGATGGACGTAGAGCGAGGTGGCCTTTGGAGCCCCATCAATCAGATCTCCATAACGCCCAGAACACTGCACCGGCCTTCCGTTGCCAATTATGGGTACGGGCGCAGCACAGGTGCCGATGACGGCAAGAGCGGGGCAACTACCTCAAAGGCTGGCGTGGGTCAATCAAGATCTTGGTATATTGCATTAAGCAGCTAGACTGTTGCGGCTGCTAAATTAATATGCCATAGAGAAGCATAGGCGCATACGCAGATCGGCTCGCGCATGGGCATGCCTGCCCACCCGACCTTAATTAAACATGACGCGCGAGATGCACGCGGCTAACGCGTCGTCGCAAACTGAATTGGAAAATCGCGGGGCTGGCAACGGTCAATTGACTCCTTTGCGCGCCTCACCATCGTCCCATCCATCTCCTTTAAGTCACTCTGCTCCTTTCCAACCTTTCGCATTGTTTTCCTCCCCTTGTTTCGCATCTTCCAACTTCTGCCATCCTTCTGAATTCAACGAGCTCGACTTCCATTCCGGATACAGCACCATCATTTAGCTCGCAACAACCCTCCTGACTACACTGCTGCCGAATCGATTGGCCTAACAGCTCGCTATCGCAACCGCCGCAATTCAATTTTGGCTCATCTACACTTCTCGCCTTTCGCAATCGATATCAATCTTCCATCGACCGGTGAAACCTCCGGGTGCTTTACCCACGTCCCTTTACATACCCTGTAGCCATGCCCCCCAAGAAAGCAAGGCAGTCAGATCCTGGTCGCCGCAAATCGCGACAGAGCGATGTTCAGCGTACGGTTCACTCCACGTTAACGAAATCTTTTGCCCTAACATGGTGTGCTGACCACTCGCAGCCGGCGACCCAATTCCGAACCGTGGAAAGAGACGTTATCGCCCCGGAACTGTAGCCCTCAGGGAGATTCGAAAGTACCAGAGCGGGACTGATCTTCTTTTGCGTCGACTTCCCTTTTCACGTCTCGTAAGTAGATTAGCCATGCGAATTTATGTTACGATGATCGCCTAACTTATTATCCAGGTTCGCGAGATTGCCGAGTCGGTCATTCCCCGAGATCAGCCACCAATGCGATGGCAATCGCATGCCATTCAAGCTCTCCAAGAGGCCGCGGAAGCTTTCTTGGTTCATCTCTTCGAGGATACAAACCTTTGCGCCATACACGCCAAGAGAGTCACTATTATGCAAAAAGACATACAGCTTGCGCGGCGCATACGTGGTGTTTGGGGAGGATTAGGTTGAGTACTCTGTTACTTGGAAAAGGACGATTCAGCATCTGCTTTGTATCAAGGTCATTGTGTCGCGCCCCTAGTTGACCACCTTTACTTTTCTTATATCGCGGTTGCACGGATACCCATGGCATGTGGAGGTTAGCGGTTGTGATCTTGTTTCGCAAAATTTTGGTTCGGAGTATAAGGCGTTGGCGGTATTAGTGCTCAAACTCGAGAGCCAACAGAAGAATAACGGAAGCATGTGTATATCTCGAGAGCTTTGCAAATGGAACGAAACCTTTATTCAAACGCAATAACGACACGTGGGGAGAGTACGCGGTTTACGCAGAGACTATTCTGTACCGCGTAAGGCTCTTTCGGTTTGGCTGTCGGTGCCCTAGTATGTAATTGGGGTTCTTCCCCAAATGTTTGGCACCTTACCTAAGCCATCGGTGAGGCACACATGCTGGCATCTCAATTCGTCTTAGCAGCTTTCGAACACTTACCTTAGTAAGGAAAATATGATAGGTACGTCACCATGCAGCCAGATAGTACTAATCTACAACTTCCTACGTAGGTCAGGAATTAAGCTTTATCCATATTTGCAACAATAGTTCGCTTGAGCTTTCAAACTTCTATCATCGCACCACTGCGCGTTCGCAATCCGTGTCAATGGGCCGTCTTTTTCCTCTTCACTTTACTGGCCGACATTTGATGCTGCCTATCAGCACCGGCATCGGCATTACCTGCGCTCTAAGATCCCGGCACCCCCCCATTCGCTTCGATTCGGGTCACGCTCAGAAAAACTCGCCTGCCCAGCGCGTGCGTAGCCAGCCTCGAGGAGGCCTGAGTCCAGAGGCGATGAGACAGCTCTCAAGCGGCAGCATGTTTGGTACATAAGCCATGTTCCATCCCCGATACCAACGGACTGGAATACTGACGTACACTGTCAAGGGTTCGGGGCTGGACTTCTTGTCGGTTTTCTGTCTCATACACTAGTTCTGCTCACGGGTCTCACCATCTTTGCCTTCTACGTAATGCCCTTGCTTAATCTTCTGCGAATTTTAATCATGGACTGATCTGGCCGCTACAGCTTGCAAACAGATACGGCATAGACTTGCCTCAGCTGCTTAGCCTGAAAGAACGATTCAACACGGTTGCATCGAACAAGCCTTTCCGAAACTCCGTATTCCGACTCTCATTTGCCGCCACCTTCACCCTCGCCGCCTTCGTGCGGTTCTAGAGCTCACCCTATCACTACAAAGGCTGAGTCTCCCTTGTCAGCCATGCCAGCGTCAAGGGGTCATGTGCGAAGAAATCCCTGGTCTTCTGGAAAATATCCGCATTGTGGGCGTTGAGCCACTTCTTCTCCTCTGCCGTCAAGAGGCTGGGTTCGATGAGGTTTTGACAGTATGGTACCATGGTGACGTGCTCAAATCCTAGGTATGGTTTGTCGCCAAAGGAATGCTTCGTTTTCACTTCCGTGACCATGGCCACGTTTTCGATTCGAATACCGTATGACCCGTCTTCGTAGAACCCTGGCTCAATGGAAACAACGTTGCCAGGTGCGAGGGCAACTTCGGCAAATTGCACCCGAGTACCGATTCCTATGGGTCCCTCGTGCACGTTGAGGTACGAGCCCACGCCATGCCCTGTCCCATGGCGGTAGTCCAAGCCCTCTCTCTGTAAGCACACGTCAGTAGATGTCCATCGCTAGGGTAATCGATCATCAAAACTAACCCAGAGGTGTTGGCGAGCCAGACAATCAAGTGCAAACCCGGTTGTTCCCTTGGGGAAAATCGCAGTGTCTAGCGCAATATTGCCCTTCAGCACCAATGTGTAGGCGAGCTTCTCGGCCTCTGTCGGCTGTCCAAAGTGCAGGGTTCTTGTTGTGTCTGTAGTTCCATCAAGAAATTGAGCACCGGAATCGCAAAGATAAATAGCATTGGGGTCGATAACGGAGCAGGCGCCGCGCTCGGGTTTATAGTGAATAACAGCGGCACTAAAGAACAAGTTAGACACCGACGTTGGTGAGGGAGCTGCAACGTCCCTGGAAGGGCACGCTCGGTAGACCACGTCCACTTACTTCGCACCGGTAGATGAGATGGTGTCAAAAGAAAGACCAACATAATCCTTATGTTTCGAGCGAAGCTGCTCAAGCTTGTCGGCGGCCTGGACCTCGTCTAGGACGGCCTTCTTGGCGACCAGTTGGTCCTCAAGCCAGGCAAAGTACTCGATGAGAGCCGCGCCGTCTCGAATGTGGCACGCACGCATGCCAGCCATCTCAGTCTTGTTCTTGACGGCCTTCGAATCTCCAATTGGACTGCGAACCTCATCAACCAGTCCGTCACCGCCGAGAGAGCGCTTCAAAGCCCACGACGCCTTTGTGGAAATGATGAAGCGCTTGGAGACGAGACTGTCGTCAGCTCTTTCCACAGAAGAGCGCAGTGCACTTATGGCTTCGAAGATGCTCTCATATGATTTGATTGCGATGCCGTTGTCCGAAAGATACGCACGGGTGGCCTCTCCTAGCTTTGACTTGTCGATGTAGAGGGTGGCACTGTCGTTGGTGATGATGGCGTAGGAAAAGAAGACTGGGTTGTACGGAATGTCTTCACCCCGAAGATTGAAGAGCCAGGCAATTTCGTCCAGCATAGATACCACGAAGGCGTGGGAGTTCTTCTTTTCCAAGTCCTGTCGCAAATCCTTCAGTTTAGACTTGACGTCCTTGCCACTGAAGGTCTCCGGTAAGACGACAACAGGATTCTTGGGTCTTGCGGGGCGGTCCTTGGCCCAGACCAAGTCGACCAAGTTTTCATCAAGGGCTACCAGATCCGAGCCACCGCATCTCTTGATTTTCTCTGCAAGCTTCTTGGCGATTGAAGCAGTGATCAACTCGGGGTCGACACCAACGACTTTGCCGCCAGCGGACTGCTCAGCCGACCATTCCTGCCAGGTAGGCACATCTTGCAGGCCCTGCTTCAAGAGCAGCCAGTTTTGGTCCAATTGTTTGGAAGCTTGGTTGAAGTATCTGCCGTCTGTAGCCAGGGCGGCTCTATCCAAAGTCACAACAGCGCAGCCGGCGGAGCCGCTGAAGCCAGATATGAATTCGCGGCGGGCATCACATCCAGCAATATACTCAGACGAGTGGGAATCTTCGGAGGGAATGACTGTGGACACAACGAAGCTATTAGCAAAAGGCGAGGATATGGCGAATATTCGAGAATTAAGGGAAGATTACCATAGACATCGATGTTGCGCTCTTTCATCAACTCTCTCAGGGTCGAGAGGCGACCGGTAGTATCGATTTGCTCCATATCAAGAACCGCAGAAAGATGCAATGCTCGACGGTGGAAGCCACTGGTCGGAGAGGCACGACAGCCGTGGAATAGCAGGGTTGAAGAAGACCGGCTTGTTCTGGAATTCGAGTAAATCCGACGGAAAATTACACTAGCAGGACGGAAACTGCTCCAGACCATGAGGTGAAGAGGGCACCTAGTAATGGGATGAGGTGGACGGAACAGGCAGAGGCGATGTCTCAACTCGACAAAAGGAAAGGCAGGCAGAGTCGTTTGGCGGGGGAACGAGGGGAACGAGGGGCGTGAGGGGCGTGAGGGGTCTTCCAGTGAGACGGGTAGATGCGGCGCCTACCTTACCAGGTAGGTAGTGGAGCACCTACAGCGAACTCACAGTGCTGTTGTTATGGGACACCTGGTCTGGAGGAACCACTGCCAGCGGTTGAGGCGCTCGCTGATTTTGGTGCAATTATATTTACCTGTCTCCAGTTCGTAGGTCAATGTGCCTAGCTACCTAGGTAGCCTGAGGTGCCTAGGTACGTAAGGTCCAACCCGACAATATGAAGAGGTCGTCATCAGTTAGGTTAGGTAGGCTGCGTACCCAAGGTAGGTAGGGTTTAGGTCGGCAGCGTAGGCGGGGTACCCAAGACACCTGGATATCTGCCTACTGCGTACCAGTAGGTATCTGCCTACTTACCTAAGATGGCCCGGGGGGTATGCTGTAATAGTACCCCTGTGAAGTGTGTCTCTACTTAATATACCTTAAGGAACAACAGGCACAGCTGGTACCCGCTAAGGGCATTAAGTGTGTATGCTCTTTTTTTTTTTTTTTTTTTTTTTTTGGCTGAACCCCCATCACACGCATAATTGCATCTCCAGAGCCTGAGGCGTCACAAATGCCGTTGTGCAGTCAGTATCTATCAGACTACTGTCATCGCCTGATTATCGAACCTGGGCTGTCTCTAACTATCTGCTTCTCGTTTGCCGCCACGCCTACTTCTGGTAGGTACTCTTGTAACACAATTACAGAGACTACCAAATTTTGACCAAACCCCACCCACTATCACAACTAGGCTCATCACTACCGAACCCACCTCACCTTTGTTAGCTTCAACACACTCAGTTCTCTGACTCCGCCTGACCTAGGTAGATCAACATGAAAACATCCCATGCAGTTGTTTGAGCTCTGTTCCAATCTTGCTGCTATGGACGGACGGCTGCCAACAACAATTCAGGAGGCGGAAGCCGTAAGCGAAGTGTCTCACCATCGGTACTCCTTTCCCTATTGCTAATGATTACCAGCTTGTTCTCGCTCTTTATGAGCCAGCACCCCCCGAGGCCATTGCCCGCATACAGGAAGTATTGCACCGTCTGCAGAGATCATCCTCCGGCTGGTGGATTGCTCGCGATCTCTTGAGCCATAACGACGACAAAGTCAAGTTCTTTGGGGCCCTTACCCTCATCGTCAAGTTGAATACCGAGAGGTACACCCCCACTCCCTGACTTCTAAAAGGTTTGTATATTGTGCTAATGGCAGAATCACATAGCTCGTCTCTAGACAGCAATGATGCGTCCGAACTGTTGCAAAGTCTTGTCGGTTGGTTTGTCAAATCACTCGACGACGGATCTGGTGCTTTGGTCATCAGAAAGCTTTCGTCGGCACTTGTCACTTTCTTCCTGCACTTTCCAACTCGTTGGGAATCTTGCATTCGTCATCTCTGCTGGTCCTTGTCAGAAGGTGCTCATTTGTCACAAGAGCGTATCAGCCCGACGTCGGATTTGTCGGGTCTGCTCCAAAGTCTTCACCCGCGCAAACTGCAAGCTGCTTTGTGGTTTTCGGGAACCTTAGTTGACGAGTCATCTAAGGTTGAGATGAACTCAGCCAAACAGTACCACGCCCCCCATCCGCTTAAGGAAACTTTCAACTCACATTTTTGCAGTTCGGGCTTATATAATTCCCTGATGAGCAACGCCCCAGATGCCTTGGCGTTGATGTCTTATGTGCTCAATCACGGCACGTTCGCTGATCCTGCGGATAGCAGCATTCGCCGAGATTCCATGACTTGTCTGCAGGTGAGTATTTCGGCTCTTTACACACACGCGGTGGCCTTCAATAGGGTAGTTTGCTCACTATTTTTGCAGTCATGGGTCTGGTTCTCTCAGCGAGTGTCCTCGCAGAATGACGAGCTAGTTGCCTCTCTCCGCACTTTGATACAGCCTGCGATCGTGGCCCTAGGCGATGAAGATTTATATGAAGTTGCGGTGGAATTACTTGCCGACGTTCTGTCCAATTACTCGGTTTTCTTGACCGAGAGCCACTACGAGTCCCTTTTTTCCCTTTTTGAGACTCAGTGGTCTCATGAAAGATACCGCCGTCTAGTTGAAGGCGACTTTGAATTCGACTCGATTCAATACGGGCAGCTTATGATCTCGCTGGGTGACTCCAAGGTTCAGAGTCTCATTCACAGTGTGGACAACCGGTCATCAAACTTCCTGGCACGCCTTCGAGGTCTGCTGTCGGCCCATGGTTATCCTGTTAGCGAGGACAAGATATTCGTTCCCGCCCTGGAGTTCTGGTCTACATACGTGGAGACCTTGACGGACTGCATCTATTCGGATTCGGATTCAAAAGCATGGGTGTCCTCAGCCACTTCTCACGTGCTCGAGGCTGTGTCGACTGTTTGGCGACGAGTGGGATATCCGCCACCCAGTGTGCTAGCTAGCTGGGATTCAGCGGATCGGGCAGGCTTTGGCGATGCAAGGAAGGATGTTGCAGACCTTCTGCAGTCAACATTCACCGTGACTGGCCCGCCCTTGATTTCGACCTTTGCAAACTTAACGCTGCAGTCCATGTCGCCCAACTCCTGGCCAGATCTTGAGGCAGCCGCCTTCTGTCTCGGATCCTTGGCCGAATGTGTCTCTGGAGACGCCGGATGTGACGACACTCTCCGAGCCGTTTTTTCCTCGCCTCTCTTTGAACTTCTCCAGGCATCGCGAGAAATCATGCCAGGGCGTACTCGTCAGACGTGTATATCTTTGATTGAGCGATATTCTGATTACTTCGAGCGAGAATCCCAAAGTCTCCCGGCCGCTTTGACGTTGCTTTTCTCTGTTCTGAACGATCCTCATCTGGCAGGGTCTGCTGCGAGGTCCATTCAGAGGCTGTGCTTCTCCTCTCGATCTGTTCTGGCACCTGAGGCGAGTGCGTTCTTAGGGCAGTATCAGTCTATTACCTCACAGGGTCAGCTAGACTGTCTGGCTAGCGAGCGAATATTAGGTGCCATAGCTGCCGTCATACAAGCCGTGTCACCAGATGACGAAAGACTCGATCGCTTAGAAGTTCTTCTCTCATTTATCGAACATGATGCCCGCAGGGCAATACGCCTGCTATCGATGCCCTTGGGCTCGCCTGAGTTCCAGGGCGAGTGCGACACTCATCGTTGTTCGTTCCTGTCTGAGTTATCAGAGCTCCCGCTACACATGGCCCTGAAGTCGTTGAGGGGTCTCATCAGCATCGGCAAAGGTCTGCAGGCACCTGGAGATCTACCTCTTGACCTGGACAGCGAAAGGGAACACATCTTTGTCGACCAGGGCTCCAGACTTGGCCAGATACAGTCTAGAATTATGTCTGTGATCGTTGAGCTTCAAGCCTCTTTTCCACGAAGCGGAGAAGTGGCTGAGAGCATCTGCAATGTCTTCAAGACAGGGTTTTCTGAGTCAGAGACTGGGCCTTTCGTGTTCCCACCACAACTTATTTGCGACTACTTAGCCCAGCAAGCGTCCGAAGTGCCTCGTATTGGGTTGTTTGTGAGCACTGCCTGCTCTTTTCTGAGTTCTCTGAGAAACTTGAAAAGAAACGACGTGGAGGGCATTAGAACCAAATTACTCAGATGGGTCATAGGACTTTTGCGGCAACTGCCGGGTAAGTCAACAGTTCCAAGCCTCAGATGCAGCACTAAAGAAGCAACCTTCACAGAACCAGAGAATGACACAGAACTGGCGCAAAATGGCATCGAGTTCACGAATCGCCTGGTATCTCGCGAGCCGACTGCGCTATTTCGTCCCGAATGTCTCCCGCTAGCTGAATACTTCTTCGTATATGCATTGAGGGTGCTGGACGGGCGAGAGCCTCTACCAAAGGCTGCTGCCGCCGATTTTTGGGCATGTTTTCAGCCATGGTCTCTATAATAAGATACTAATGAGTCACCCAGGCTACGTTTGTGTCACTCAAGGATCCTGATAAGGGAGCGCAAGCGACAATTGACCATGCCGTTGCTCAACTGGGGCCGATGCTTGCACAGTCTATTGTTCAAAATATTGGCGGCAACGCCTCGAGGAGTGAGCTGGATAGGCTCGGTGAACCTTTGAAAAAGATGGTCAGCAATCAGGTAAAGGCCCGCGCTTGGCTCGAGCAAGCCTTGTTCGACCCTTCTTTTCCCGGCCAGCACATTTCGAGTGAGGAGAAGGCTGTTTTCCTGAAAAAGATTATCAAGTCAGTACTGTTCTTCGACAATATATCTCTGCGCATGCATCATAATCACTAACTTCGTATGATTGAATGATAGCCTGAGAGGCGCAAGAGGGACAGCACAGGTGGTAAGAGAGTTGTGGCTAGCCTCAAGAGGATCCAAATTCACCTACGCGTCTTGATCTCACGGTCTAGTACATCCAGGTTTCTGCGGGCCGGCAAATGGTGTGGAAACCTTGCAGTATGCCGGACTTTTTCTGTCCACGAGCGCAGCATGAAAGCGGAAATCTGACTGTGCCACGGATACGATATTTTCAAGTGCTGAATCCCTACAAAAAATAGAATTTTACCCGCGGGACCATTCTGTACACATTGATACAATAATACCACATCCGGAAATGTCCAGATGTCAGCCTACAGGCCTGTGGCTTCTCTGACAACAACCATGGTCTCTTCCGCACTTTGACGGGCCCTCTCCGCTCCTCGGGCCTCAACGGAGTCAAGGTACCTTCCCTCATCAGTCGAGATAAGGTCTAAGTATCGTTCTCGAAAACCAGATAGACCACAGATGACAGCTTCAGAAACAGCCTGCTTGAGATCCTTCAAAGAAGCTTGAGAGTATTCTTGGGCTAGGTGGGATGGGGTCCGTCCCTTGCCATCGAAAACGGACAGGATTTCCAACAAGTTTGACACCCCCGGGCGTTCATTGGGGTCGTAAGAAACTACATTTGATGAATCTGTCAAGGCGCTCATCACCTTCTTGTGGATCTCTTCTGGCCGGTCTGTGATAACAATGCGTGACCTGGAATCTTTCGCCGATTTTGACATCTTCTCGGCCGGGTGTTGTAATGACATAACCCGGCGAGTAGGCGCTTGAAGGATCAATGTCAAAGACCTTTCGCGCCTTTTCTGGGATGGCAAGACTTACGAGTGATGGTTTCAGGTGGCACAAGGTGCGAGCCGAAGGTATGATTGAAGTTGTTGGCGCATTCCCGAGCAAACTCCAGATGCTGCCTTTGGTCGTCACCGACGGGGACATGAGTTGCCCTGTATTATCGACTTAATAAATTTGCCTTCTTACAATTTCTCCTAGGTCGGATAATGAGAGCATCTAACGAACCTGTGAACAAGAATGTCGGCGGCTTGCAAAACGGGGTAAGAAAATAAGCCGAGTTTCAATGATGTTTTGGCACTCTCGTCAAGGATTGTTGCATCAGAGGATAAGGATAATTTGCTCTGTTGCGGGTAAGTCGCTGGAACTTTTGTTGCTGAAGTAAGAGAATGGGACATTGATATCACCGACCTTCCACTGCGTCATGCGCGACAGGTAACCCATGGAAGCTGTGCAGCTCAAGATCCACATAAGTTCTGTATGGGCCGCGACCTAGAACAGCGATACCGTCAGCGACATTGTTCGTGCTGAGAATTCGATCCATCAACGAAGTGACAATGCGGTTTTTATTACCGAAGACTGATAGAACAATGTTGAACGTTCGGGATCAATGCCGGCGGCGATCAAGGCGGCCAGTGTTTCCCTCTTCCATTGTCTGAGCTGCTTTGCTTGCCGGGTCCCGGTCATGGCGTGGAGATCGACGACAGAGTATATGAGTTTACATTGATCTGCTGGTTCGCTTTGGAGATGAACCCATTGGCGGATGGCACCAGCATAGTTACCCAGGTGTGGCGTTCCTGTGGGTTGAATCCCAGAGAAGACAACCTTCTGTTTGCTCGTCGACGAGGCACGTCGGAATTCGCGCACGCCGACCACAAGTTGACGGGCTCCCGATCTTGCCTGCCGCCACATTGAGAACGAAAGCGATTTTGTGTGATGTCGAAAGTGGCTATAATACCTGGGAGCAAAAGGCGTGCCACGTACGACCTCCGGCCAAATTTGATGAGAAACGACGGATAATCGAATATATTGCTGTACCGGGGTCGCCATGTCTGCGAGAGGCTCCGCCGGGCAAAAAGACACAGGAAGTACTCAAATCACCTTCGGTACACGGCGCCACTGGGTGACCAGCTTGCGAACTGAACTGTTTTGACGGGCACACTAATAGTAGTACAGCAGAATGTCCTTGGCCTTCACCAGGAACCCCCAACGTTTGGCCCAGCATACTATACAAATGCTCATGCCGTCCGAAACTCAGGCACGGGCTGACGCACAATAGTCTTAAAAAGTAGAAGGCAATTGAGCTGCCTCCTGATTTACTGCTGTCCTAACCTTACTGGGCGCTAGCCAGCAAAGCAAGGCGCCTTGGGCTAGACCCGACTTCCGCCCAGATCGTGCTCACTCAGCCTCTTTTCTCTTCATCATCTTTTCTCTTTTAAACTGTTCCTTTACGAAGCGGCGCTGTCCTTCCGCCCGCTTACCACTATCGGTATTAAACCGCGAGGTGGCCAGGAACTCCTCAACTTTCTCGACCGTGTCCAGACTTCTGAGCTGGCTCAGTTGTTCCCACTTCGGTTCGATAGCCCCAAGTGCGTGTTCGGAGATGGCATCCATCGACTTTCCTTCACCTGGTTGAAGAACGTCAACATTTGCGCAAGTAGACGTCTCACGCGAGATCCTACCTAGCTTGCCAAAGTCCCAGATGTTGGCCTTCATACCAATGCCATAGTATGCGTGTTTTTGGAGAAAAGCCAGCCATAACTGCACCGTCTCCGGGTTGCCATCGCGAATCTGGATGAGGCGACGTAGGGTGATGCGTTCGAAGTTTTCTTGAGACTTCTTGAAAATGAAACTACTGCGAGGGACTGTCCAACGTTCGGTAATACGAGGTAGCGGTACTGGACCAAAAGCTGGAAGCTTGAGATAGTATGCTGCGCGAAGGGCGAAATCGACGAAGAATTCGAGGTTTCTTATACTGAAAGAACGTAGCTGCAGGTCGCATGAGGGAATGCCGTATTCAGCTTCGCATCTCAAGGGCTGAAGATAGAGAGCCTGAACACTTCGTGGGAATCGCAATTTCGGTGACTTCCTGACGAAAAGTTAAATGTCCGCAATCGGTTGGCTCGCTTGGGATGTCGTCCTCAAAAGGTCATTAACTTACCCTTGTTGGGAATTGGGGAGGGCGTTTCTAGTAGTTGACACTCTTTCGCGAGCTTCTGCAGAGGGAATCTGGTCGATGGGCGTGTCAATGCTCTCTTCGGCGATGGGTGCTCCAGTGGCAAGAAATCGCGTTAACGGCTGTCGCTGGACGACGGCCTGCATTGGAAATGGAATGTAAGCTAAAGAACGACTCTCCAAAGCCACCCAAGAACACTTAGTGATAAAGATGGGAACGCACCTGTGGTGTTGATCGCGCCAGAAAGCGGGTTGTTGGCCGCAATAGCGATGTTACGCGCATTTTGGTCGCTGCATGGGTAACCAGATAGGATCACAGGACTTGTCGACGACGAGACCATGAACGGCAAAGAAATCGCTAAATTTCGGGTTCCATATATTATTCATATAAGAGCACGGCCTAAGGCGTGCAGACGCATATTGAAAATCACACTATCCGGGTGTAGCCCAAATTATAAGACTAAAGGGTTTAAGCCATTTTATTATCCTTTTTGTTATCTCCCCTCGCATAGTCCCCTGCGAAGGTGAATGAGAATCACCTGCGACATGGAACGATAGCCAATTTCTTCGACGAAAAGCGCCCGGTCAATGTAGGCTAGAAATCACGGCGTCGGAGACATTGCGACGAATTGAGGTCTCGAGAATCCTTTATTTATTTTTACCGTCCGCCACGGCGACGTTGTTCTACCAGTTTCTTGTAGAAGGCCTTCTTGCCGCTCGCTTTCTTCTGCTGGATGCCCTCGTACTTGGACCTGAACTTGCCAGAGGCCTTTTCAGCACTCAACAATTCATCTACTAGTGTCTGCTTTCTCTCCTTGCGGGTCAGGCGTGCGCTGTAAAACTCGGTCGGCCCTTCGACGATACGTCCAATGTGAGCATAACGAGGCACTTTGGCCTTCAGAGACTCTTTCTTGTAGTGTCGTTTCGGGTCAATGGCAGTTCCTCTCATATGCAGGATTTGTAAATCCCGCTTGAGTTCTGGATCATTGGGGTCCGTCTTAGGGATGCCAAACCAACGAGGCCCAGCGTTGTCAAGATTCTGAGAAGACGCGTCAGCTTTGCTATATTAGGATAAACGACCGACAGAGACATCAAACGCGAGGGCGAGTTTCGCTTCAGAGTAACTATGAAATAGGAGTATCATTTGGGCGTGGCGCGGCAGTCCAAGACGGATGCCGACACCACATCAACAGAATAAGCAAGGATTGCTTCTCATCACGAGATATTGGGGCGAAATGATGGTGAAAGTTGCGAAAAACGTACCTTCTCTTCTGTCGGCCTAGGATCGCGAAGCGTGAGGCTCTTCTGGTCTCGTACCGTTGGCTGGCCCTGGTGCTCCGCGGTTGGCTCGGTTGAAGCGACCGCGATCAAGCTGCAATCCTTCGGCTGTGACGACTTCTTCGTCAGTAGCCGGCTGGCCGCTTGTTTCAAGAGTTCGTCAAGACGCTCATCGCACAACTCCGGCATAGCGGTGAAGTACGATTGGACTGATTGAGTCGAAAAAGAGCTCAACGAGCAATCGAAAGGAAGGACAGATTAGCGATGTTAAAGAGATTTTTTTTTTCTCTTCAAATGGAGCTTCCTCGTAAACGTTGGGGCTGAGTGGGGCGTGTAATCAGGAAAGGTGCCTTGGACGGGGACGAACCTCCGATTGGATTACGCAATGTGTCGGGGGAAAAATCAGCCGCGATTGAGCCTCGGCGGGGGCCGCGGGCGCGGGAATCTGACATGAACCAAGCTTCAGGTTTACACTCTTAGGACGACATTGCGACCTCGTAGTAAAGCAACACAGGCAGATAATACAAACAATGATGCACCTGCGATATCGCTGGCTGACGGTTCGATAAGGTACAGATGCTAAGTACCATAATGCCTTAGGTATCTATCAGGCACTGGACAGTGTAACACACCATACGGCTCCAAGCCACGTCACTCTGGAGCTGCTGGCTAGCGTCATAACGCCTTAAATGATTAGGTGCTGCACAGCTGTAGGTACCTGACAAAAAAACAGAAAGAGAACGCTAGCTAGAAAAGGGATCGTTCAAGCGAATCGATAACCATTGCTCTGAAGCTGCCGATGGACTGGTTGTCCCTCGGTAAGGTGCCCGACCACATAAGGTAGGTCGGAGGTGGCACGTCAGGCGATGAACCGACCCAGCATGCAAGTCGCCAGGCATACAGCACCCATGTGTGCGCTGCAGAGCGGGCAAGTACAAATGCCAGCCATCGGAACCCCACGCACCAGCCAGTTTATCCTCCACTCCCATCTCAGCCTAGCCACACGCCTCGCTTCACTTCGTCCCGATTACGTCCTCGGGTCTCCTCCGTACAACCAAGCTTCCGTCCCTAGTCAACAATCGTGGTGCCCGCGCTACTCACACCATACACCCGACGCTGCAACAATCTCAACCTTTACAATAATCATCTGCACATAGATCGAAATGGACCCTCAGAACCAATCCGGCTCTCACGCGCAGCAAGGCCGCGCCCAGCCTGTTTACGATACGTCTCATGGAGGTCACTACGGTAAGACAGCTCTTCGCGCAATTCAAACGCGTCAAGCCCGCGCGTGCTTGCGCAAAGCATCCCCGTCGCTGTCGCTCGAAGCACATGTTGTTGCCATTGCTGACTTCTGCTCTGCTACTAGGTGCAAGTGCTGCGGTTCGTATTTCACTTCAAACAATCGTCCAGCGGCTATCCAACCACCGGTCGCGGTGTTGTTTGGCGCTGGTTAGCTTCTGATGATTCGGTCACATCTGACAATATGAACAGCTCTCTGCCCAGGGCTTTGCTCCCGCCGAACTGTACACCGGTCCATGGGCTAATGTGCGTGCCCATCAAACTCGAGAACACCCCTCCTACTTGATTTGCTGACATGCGCCTCAATCGCAACAGGTCCACCAAGGCCTGACGGGCCAGTACAAAGACATCCTGACGACTTACTGGCAGCAGACCATTAACCACCTGGAAAGCGATAACCATGACTACAAGCTGCACCAGCTGCCTTTGGCGCGGATAAAGAAGGTCATGAAGGCCGACCCTGAAGTCAAGATGATATCGGCAGAAGCACCCATTCTCTTCGCCAAGGGCTGCGATATTTTCATCACCGAGTTGACAATGCGTGCGTGGATTCACGCCGAAGAGAATAAGCGAAGAACCCTGCAGCGGTCTGATATTGCATCTGCCTTGGCCAAGTCAGACATGTTTGACTTCCTGATTGACATAGTTCCTCGAGAGGAAGCCTCTTCTCATGCCAAACGAACCGCAGGCCAGGCTGCCCCTGCTGGCCAGGGCGTGCCGGCGCAGGCAGCTTCCCAGATATCAGGCCAACACGGCGCTATTCCACAAGCTGCCAACCATTCCTCCTCATCTCATCCTATGGCAACGACCGACTACGGACTCGCCGGACATGCTCTTGGCCCCGATCAGGACTATCGCCAGAACCCCAACATGTATCCTGGCCAAGTACAACCTGGGCCTTCTGCGCCATATGGTCAGGCGCAGCAAGGTATGTACGGCGAAATTGAGGGAATGTACGGATACGGCACCATGCAACCTCAGCAGGTTAGTTGACTGAAGGAGAACACCAGCTTTGAAAACAAAAGACTGACAAGTCCAGCAGCCGCCCATGTCGTCGGAGGAGTTTGAATAGTGGCGAACCGACTTGGACATGAAAAGGCGTACAGGAAAGCTCAATCGTTACGTCGTTTCGAGGCCCGCATGAATCAGAAAGGCGATTGGTCGGTGAGGGAATGAGCCGCTCTCGGCTTTCTCCCTTTTTTTTTCTTTTTTTCCTCGTGGCTTTATTGGTGGCGTCGCGGCGTTCGAGGCTTTCCGGCGACCATAAGGGTTGACGATGGAAACATCTAACACGTTGGTAAACGGCGTTCCTTCGTCAAGGTTTTGTACCCAGGCACGGTTGATGAAGCATGTCCTAAATATATGCCAGCCTAATGGCGCCCTGATGATAGAATTATTCAGTTGCTTCAGTCAGAAAAGAAAAAGGTCACACAGCTGGCAATCTGTAGATGGCAGGTATGCCAGTCTGCCAGTCCATCGATGATCCTGAGCGTGGTTCGTGTACACTGTAGTCTCCAAATACTTCGCGACTCATTTCATGATGCCAAATCGTGATGAGAAGTTGGCAAGAGGGGCACTCCGAGTAGGGCCCTGAGCGTTCGACGTAAGTCTGCATAAATGTCAGTTGACACTTGGATTCGAGTTGCCTCATAAGAGTCGAAGTACGTACTTCTCTAGAAGAATTGGCCCATTCATGGCGTCGACACGTCCAAATTTCTTGTTCCGGATGGAAATGTCAAAGAACTCGTCATGGTTGTCGGACTGCATCAAGTTCACGGTTTGTTGGAGCTCGTCTAGATTCTCTCGAAGCATCGCTCCATTCTCCAGACTTTCGACAAACTCTGTTAGATACTGGACATCTTTTGCGAGTGCAGCTACTGCATTGGTGTTGATATGCTTGACATCGGGAGACAGCGGCAGTGCCTGTGGGTTTGTGGGTCAGCCTGTCCACAGGGAACAGCAACGCTATGGGGCATCAATTGACGTACAAGAATCTTGTTGGCAGCATGACTGAGAGCATCAAAATAGATAAGTTCCTTGATCTCCCGTGGCAAGCCTAAAAGCGTCGAGTTCATAATATTGGAAAGGTATCGTGTCATGGTCTGCATGTAACTGCTTGGGTCGGGGGATGTAGTTGTTGCCATCCTACGCCGTGTTGTTAGTTTCGAGAGCGAATAGCAATGAACTACTGCGGCCATGTTCCCCAGGAGCAGCAACAGCAACACATACCAGTCGTACTCCGCAGTATCCACCAGGTCATCGATCTTGGAATTGACGAGCTCGAATATGCGCTTCTCGGCAGTCTTCTTATTGTTCCGGAATTCTTCTGTGGCCACCAGTGTAACGGGGCCACCAGCCGATGTCGATGACCTTGCTCTGATGAGCAGCTGCTCCAGTTCCTGGCATGCTGCCTCAAAGTGCTCCAAGTTGATCAATATTTGCACGATTTGACCCAGATATTGCGAGCTAAGTCTTTCAACGAGGGACTTGCACACTTTCTCTGTCAATAACTCGTCAAGTGACTAGAGTGTGCTCGATTAGTTGCCAACTCTCCAGAGTCACGTTAGTGAAGATCGTACCTTGCGGAGTGTCTCGTCAATAACATTGGGATGCTGGAAATGATCGTCGGAAAAGAAGTAGAACTGGTTCAAGAAGTTCCGGATATCGATGCAGCACAAGGGGTACATTTGGGAAAAGGGCAGGACGCATGGGAAGCTAGACAAGCATTAGAATGATGAGGCATAACTATCGTGAAGGATGGGCTTACCTGAGCTCTTCCAGGGTCTTTTCTTGGGAGAACCAGCTGACATTCACCACCTTCTCGTACTCCTCGCGCGTATTGATTGCCATGGGCATGTAGTCGTCTGTTGAGACGATCTAAAATCGTCAGCTACGAACTATTCCCTACAAGCGGGACATCGGCGCTTACCTCTTGGAAGTCTTCGCTGAAACGGCGCTTCAAAAGCTCTGCATACTTGTCGAAAAGTTTGAGGAGGAAGTTGTCGAGCATAGATACAGAATAGCCCCATCCCTAGATTTGCCTCAGCATTAACGGAACCCCAGCGTAACGACAGAGCGGGAAAAGTACCTCCATGGTTTGGATGAATAAAGCTATGACGCCCTTGATTTTGAGGAGGATCTCGGCATTGCTCACTTCGTTCAGGGCTTGCGAAGTCAGAGTGATGGCGGTGTGACACATCGAGTCCCATAGCTCGTCCACCTGTGGTAGTTCAGCAATTTGAGGCGCGGCAGTGTCGTTTCCCCCTACTCACGTCGATGGCGGACCGCAGATGAGGAGCCCGGCGCATTGTGGCCTTTTCAATAATGGCGAAGCCTGCGATGCCCTCGAGCAAACTGCTGAGTGAGGTTTCATCGTCTGCCACTAGTCCAACGGTACTAGGCAACAGAAGATCCTTCTGTTGCCTGCGGGTAGTAGCGTATTCTGCTCGGAATTTCTCGTTCTGTCCGAGGGCGTCGTGGATGTGGAGGCACTCGAATAGAGGCGTGAAGTCGACCTGCAGCTCCTCATTGTCCAACACGTCAAACTCTTCACTTTCATCAAAGACGAGCTCAATGGAGGAGTTGAGCTTGAATTTGGTAAGGTATCCGTCTTGCTCCACACGTTCTCTTTGTCTCGCTCTCCTCAGTTCGGTATGGTAGAACGCAACCTCGCCGAGGAACTGCGAAGTTTCGCGGATTCGAAAGAGCCAGGTATTCAGATCCGCCATCACAGCTTCCGAGATGATCTTCTGCGATGCCGGAATAGACTTCTGGATTACGTCGGCAAGCCTATGCTGAGTTGCGTACTTATTCTGAATGGTCGGTATGAGGTGCTCGTTTTGCAGGTCATCGAGGGACTTGAGTGCGGCGTAGTACTTCTTCTTGCGGATCAGATCGTGGGCATGGTTGACAGCGTGCAGAATCTTCAGAGATTCTTTGAGGGCTTCGGAGGCATCGGCGATGTTCTGGCGCACAGCGCGCGTGTCGACGAGGGCTTGCTTTTGGTTCGCGAGCTTTTCGGTGCTTGCTTGGATGGACTGATTTAGCCTAAGGATCTCGGCCGTCAAAGCGACGGTACCTTCGCGGACAGTTTGTAGCTGGTTGACGGAACCCAGAAATTCCTCATGCTTCGTCAAGCCGATCCGCTCAATATCAGACTCTCTATCCTCGGCATATCTTGCGAGGTTCTGGGTGAGTGATAGCGTTCGATTCGAATTGGAGGCGTCTTTGAGCACGGGGATAAGCTGGTCCAGGAAGTCCGAGTCTGTGGAAGTCAGAATGATCTAAGGGTTGTTGATAAATCAGCATCGCCAGCATTCTAGAAGGGAATGCAGCCAAAGGTAAAATGAGGTGCCCAACCTGCTGTACAGCAACACCATAGTCATCATAGGTCTGCGGGCGACGGGGCATCTTCGTCCATAGGCTGCTAATCGGAGCCAGCAGTACTGTCGATGGCTCCTTGTTATTATCTGGTGTGCTCAGGCTGGCTGCGTCCCTTTGGTCTCTTCGTTTCCGTCAGGCCACCTTTGTTACCTGCGATTCTGTGGAAAACAAGAGCTGTGTAATCAGAGATAAAGTGTTGATTGAGACACGTTTGTGAACAAGGGAAGGGTTGGCTAGCATAGGCTTAAGATCAAATGCTGGGGAAGTTGTGTTGATAGAGGGTCAGAAGTTTGAGGCTCTTTGGTGGACCTCCGCTAATGCAGGTGCAGGGGAGGAAGCAAGTGCGCACCCTGAGCCGCAGCGTTTTACCTACAGCCCCACCCACCAGGTACATTGCACCCGCCAGTAGGTACCTTACCTGAGAACGTGCACAACAACTGCTGCCGTCCAGTGTAGACAATGGCGCATTCTTCAGATGGGACATCCTGGAACATAAGCACCTACAACCATAGGTATATAAGGGGTGCTCTCACTTGTCTGGTCTGTGGAAGCGTCTTTCGTCATTCAATGCCCCTTCCATCTCTAACATTACATCAACCCAGCCTAGATCAATACACCCTAGAATATTGACGATAACTTGTTGAAACATAAGTCTCTAGCTACCAAAAGACAATTACATCTTGAGTACATCAGTTACACTTATGGGAGGCAGCACCAGCTAAAATCAGAAGGCAGCAAGATAGAAGGTTGAGCAGGCATCTTGACTATAAACACAGATGGCGCACTGGGTGCTTTGGTCTCTACCATCTTGGAGCTGGAAGTATGGCTATCGTGTATCGCAGAACGACGTGGTCTGTATGTGTCTGAACTGCAGTTGTCGGCCGTGAACTGGTCGTATCGTCGTAAACAGGACAGAGGAAGGGTGGTAGGGAAGGTAGGGAAAGGAAAGTGCCTTCCGACAGAGGCTGAGCTCCACGCATGTCATGGGAACTCTTCAATTGCTTCCTCGGAGTAAGTCAGGTAGGCAGGGTCAGTGAGGAGGCACCTGCCCTACCTAGGTAGGTAGGCAAGGGCAAGGTTCCTTACCTATGGTAGGTAGGTTGGAAGATGTAGGCGTGGAAGGTGCAATCCACCTATCCTGCAAATATCATCTTTACAGGGAAGGAAGGAAGGAAATGCGACTGCCGCATACAGGCCTCGTATCTCAGTACCTTCGCTAAACCAACAGCACTTACTGTGGTTTTCTCGTTGGTCACTGCGCCTTCTAATTCCACGCACACAACGTTCGCGAAAAGGAAGGAAGCGGGAAAGCCCATCGCCCTCAGCCGACCCTGCGAGCAGCCCTCGCGCGCCCTTCCTCTCCTTTACGTTATCAACCTTCCAGTCTCATTAGTCCTCTCTCCTTTCCTCTCCTTTCTTCTTTCTTGCCATTCCATCGTTTGAGATACTCACCCGTTCAGTTTCTCAATATTTCGCCAAGCAAGGACAAACACTCAAACAACCCAAATCTGTCTTGTCTTGTCCTGCCGTTTCTGGCCGCAAGGCTTACCTTACTTATCCCCAAGTCTAGGCCCACACAACTCGGTGTTCTCGATCTCCATTCCATCCGCAGTCACAGATCTACCTTACGGTGTATGCTGCGGGGTGTTTGACTGGTTCTCGAGGACAGGAAGAACGGCATCAACTTTGATATTCAAAAGCCTCGTTTCTCCGATCAGGTACGTGATGACAAGCCTTTGCCTCAGCTACCCCCTCCCTTGCCGGATGTGGTGATTGGGACGTCACTACTTCTGTCTTCTCTTGTACACCCTTCCTCTACTCCGACAGGGAAGTTTCATTCTAACTGTCCTCAATTCGCGCCGTAGAGCAGGGACACGGCACGCAACATGGCGCACAACCGCGAGTCGGTGGTCTTCAACCCGTCTTCCCCGCGGTCTTCTGTTGGAGGAGCCGAGTCCTTCAAGGGAACTCCAGACACGAGACTCACGGCTTTCTCTCCAGAAGAGGGCTCAGCGAGATCGTCTCGTCTCCTCAAGTCCCTCGGACAAGATTCCCCAGACACCACGCCGTCTAGGTTTCATTCCATCGCCTTTGGTGGGGCAATTTCCAATGCTGACAAGGACCCGTTCGTTACTACCACGTCGAATGTTGCTCTTCAGAAGCTTTCGCCGACAGCCTCAGCTTTTCAACCTTTTGTCGGCCCCGTTGCGACTCCTGATCATGTCAGGCGCAGGAACCGCAATCTGTTCTCGCCCAGCCAAAAGGAAGAGGGCGAACTGTCACAGTACCTCAGTATTTGGTCGTCTAGTCGGACTGTGAACGGAGCTGATCTTATGTCGTGTTTCACGGTGAGTGTCGATATCTCGACAGGTCATTTTGCGCCGACTGACACCCAGCCAGAAGCTCCAACGCTTAGGTCTCTTAGTTCAAGAGCCAAGGCAGATCCATCATCGGAGTGGGAGGGCTATCGTCCATTTCGGTGACATACGTGATTCTGTTCTGATCCACGACAATCTGCACCGCGTCCAGGCAGACTTCGAGGTGGAGTACATGTCTGAAGCTCATTTTTCCGAGGTACATGCTGCTCGTCCCTCCCACCCGAGAACAATCCTCCTGACTTTTACGCAGCACGCCGGACAGACCCCTATGAAGTGTGGCTCGTGGGTGTCGATCCTGGCCATTGCCACACCTTTGGGAGTCCTTGACATATCCCGCCTTGAAGCAGTTTTCAAGCGTCATCTACAAGCAAAGGGCCATCTCTTGGCCTATCACACGCAACAAGTACACGACGAGGACACTTACAAGGCTTTCGCAGAGTTCAGCGATGCGTCAGAAGCCTTGTCTGCGGTCGTCTCGCTCGACAACAGAATCATCGAGGTATGCCGTCGAGTTTCTGGCCTCTAGAAAGCCCTTCCTCTCGGCACCTGCACCAGACGCTAATTTGACTGCAAGGGAGCACACATCAGTCTGTCTTCCATTGACACTGGCGATGAATTTCAGACAACACACGAGGAGCCTGGTGGCTCCGTCGAAGCTCCTGGCCCCCTCCTTCCTAGCCAGGACCTGACAAACGCCTTCCAGGCTTTGGCTATGTCTAAGAACCCGACGCAGACAGGCATGTCGCCACATGGGACAAGTATGATGGGACCAGGCTCCACGTGCCCTCCTTTCGGAATCCAGGTTCCCCCATTTGCGATGTGGCCGATTCTGTGCCAGCCGCAGTTCCAACCGGGAATGGGATATCTCCTCGATGGTGGTTCTCGATTGTCATTGCCGCCAGCTACGTCGAGTCCTGCTGGATACCAGTTTGTTAGTCCGCTCTTCTCGCCTCAAGCACGAGGTCTGTCTACGGCTGGATCGATGTCATGCAGCCCAAAACCCGAGCCTCGAAGACAGAACGCCTCCCGTGTTAACAGGTCCCCGTACTACAACGTTACAAGCCATCACAACCATGTCGACGTCAATCGCATCCGCGAAGGAACGGACGTCCGCACAACTGTACGTAGACCAAATGGATCCGACTTTCAAAGCTGACTGTGTCCAGATCATGCTTCGTAATATTCCCAACAAGGTTGATCAAGCCATGCTCAAGCGGATCGTAGACGAGTCCAGCTGGGGAAAGTACGATTTCATGTATCTGAGGATCGACTTTGCGAATGACTGCAAGTACGTTCCCCCTCTTATTCCTTCTCGCTTTGTAAAGACTAACCGCAAGATTAACACAGCGTCGGATATGCGTTCATCAACTTCGTAGACGTGAGTGTTTTTCTGACCTTGTGGGAAGGCCGAGTGCTAACAAATCATCCAGCCGCTGGACATCATCGATGTCGGTGAATACCCCACAGCCCAGCGGTGCAGTGCTGATATAGCCACAGTTTGTCAACACAAGGGGCAACCAGAGATGGAACTGCTTCAAAAGCGACAAGGTCGCCGAGATCTCCTACGCCAGTGAGTCATTCAGACTCTGGGTTGCAATGTCGAAGCCAGTCGCTAATCAGACACGTGAAGCCATCCAAGGCAAGGATTGCTTGGTTCAAAAATTCAGAAACAGCTCTGTCATGCTTGAAGCAGCGCACTATCGTCCCAAGGTACGGCTCTGCATTCTGCTGAGATGGAAAGTTCTGCTCATTATCACGCAGCTGTTTTACACATCCAACGGTCCCATCCCGGAGCTTGCTGGAGAGGAAGAACCCTTTCCCCAGCCAGACAATCAGTCCAAGATGAAGCGAAGTTGCGAGAATGCAGAGCACGTCGGTAAGACAGACGAGGATTTTGAATTGCAATAGATACTCACACGAGACTCAGGTCTTTTCACGCCCAACGCTGGCCAGCATTTCCGTGACGAGCAACGCCGTAGACGCTCGCAGTACGACCGAGGAACAAGGCTGGCCGCCCTCGAGGAACACGACTTCGAGACCAATATGCAGTCATACATGTATCACCAACAGTGAGCGAAAAAGGATCTTTGGACGACGCTTGGTCGTCATACTGTCTGGGAGATTAGCATGAAACTGGGTTGTCCGAACGCATGGGCCCACAGCTTTGTTTGCTATATTACAGGAGCTTTCTGGAGGCGTCAACCATGTGTAATCATTAATAACTAGCTAGAGCCCGCAGACATATCATGGCTGTCTACTCTGATACTCTCATCCCTAGACCGACCGAGGACCCGATACTTATTTCTTTGCAGTCCCACTGAATGCACTGTTTTTCGGCTTCCACAACCAGAGCCAAGTGCTGTTTAAGGCGGGTACTCCGGCAGGGCAGGAAGTGGCTTGCGCGTTGTCAACGAACCAACTCCACGACTGGATGGCAGGAACCTTAGATCCGGCACTGCGATTGGGGGCGTCTCCAGAGACGAGATTGCTGGTGGACAATGTTCTGTAACCTGGGTGGGAGAGTCTTGGGCTGTCAAGGGTTCATCTGTTAAAAATCCTCCCTCCTCTGTGGAAAGAGTACTGTGACTGGAAGAAGAGCACTGGTAACCAATGTCTGGCTCATTTCCGAGATACTGTACGTCTCGGACATGATCTGTCCCCGAGATTTGATCTGGGCCGGGCACAGCCTCATCATCGATGTAGGAACCGTGTGCGCTGTCCGATGTTGGCGTGAGTAGCTGACGGTGCTCATTCGGCGCTTCTATTAGAGATGGGCCAGTATCGAAGTGACCGCCGTCGCTGCATTCAACAAGCCGCCCAAACTTGTCATACCGAGGGGTGAAAGAGCTATCGACATTGCGATCAGTTGGTAGGCCTGGTAGGGGGTGGTTCAGGCTTGGGGATCGATAGGCATCAAAAGAGCCAGTCAAGATGGGTTGCGCCATAGCTCTCGAGAAAATGACTAATACAAGGCAAGAAAGTAGGAGAATGGCCTGTACAATTGCCATTCGCTTCTGGAACACCACCTCGTCGGCAAGAATGTTGAGTCGTGAGCTCAGCGCCACGGTTTCTCTCTGTGATTGCTCCCGTTGACTTTCCAGTGCAATGACCGTCGACTGCCAAATTTGGTCGTATTGCTGGCGTACTGTCCGCAGCTCTGAGAGAACAGTATGGTTTAGACTGTCCAAGAAAGAATCAATTCTGGACAACTGTTTTCTTTCGGTCAAATATTGGGTCGCCTGCAGCGAACGTGATTGATCTTCGATGTACTTGAGTGATAAAGTCACATTGGCTTCCAGTAATTGCAGCCGCTTACTGACAGCCTTGAAAAAACTCTCCTGCACAGTAGGAGAAGCAGGGGCTGCTGTTGAGTTGTTCTTGGATCGAGACTGAGCATTGGTCTGCGATGTTGCTTTGGTCGGGGAAGAGCTGGCATTCATATCCTCAGTCCCTGCTCCTGCTGGGCGGGGGGCCGGCGGCGTGTTGATTTGGTGAGAAGTTGCAGAGGCCGAAGCCGCTGTCAATTCGGGGCTAATCTCTGGTTGATTGCCGCTGATGATTGTGGCGACAGGTAGTTTGTTTTCTCTCATGTGCCCATTGGGGATTCCGGATGCCGACTTCTTCTGAGCGTTGGGCCCTTTGTCGGCAATATTGGCTTCTGACAATGGTGACGTCGCGATCATTCCCGCGACGGGACCCCTTGTAAATTTCGGACAAGTAAAATTATCCCAAACAGAGGATCTGAACAGTTTGAGTGGCTGGAAAGGATCCATTGAGTAGTCAAGAGCTGTTATGGTCTCGCCCGAACGGCCTGTTGAAGAGTGAGATGTGCTATCCCACGCTGCCGAGTCGGCGGCCGCATCAGAGCTACCTACAGAGCCGGAAATGCTCTCTGGCGGTTCATCAGCTACGTCCTCTTCGTCGGCGGGTGTCTCGGTGTCCTTCCAGGACTCCAACATTCGAGTGCCATGGACTCGTAGTAAAGACACCGGGCAATAGTACTCGTTCCCATAGTGGCTCAAGAACTCAACGCGGACATACTTTGCCCAGATCAGAGGGTTGGGTACAAGGAAAGGCTGTATGTCTCGAGAGTTCTTTGCCTCGAATGTGCCAAGGTCCTTCCACTTGTCGACCTTAACAGGATATCTGTCGCTGACACTGACTCGAAACTGCCGGATCATGCTCGAGAAGAATTCAAAGTTGGCGAGCACCACAGTGTCAACCAAAATGTCATCGCTCAGCTCCACGATAACGAACTTATTTTCCGCCGAACACTCTAAAAGCATATAGGAATCCTTGTTTTCGACTAAGATGGCTTTCGCATTCTTCGCACCCTTGTTTGTCTTCAGAACTGTGGCACCAGCATCAAATGACGAGTACGAGAATCGTTCTTTGCAAGTCTTCCCAGCATCCTTGCTTCGATCGTATTGGGTTCTGCCATCGTCGTAGAGCACCGGTTCTTGGAGGTCTGACGCTCGCGGCTCAGTTGGTAATGCTTGCGGCGCCGATGCAATGTTGCTGATTTTCTCCGAGACAACGTCGAAATTTAGATCAATCTCGCCATCGTCACCCAGACAGTCCAGCCCCGAGGTCTTCGCTGCTCCATCATGATCTTCACCTCGATCATATGTCCGGCGACTTTTCAACTCGGATGGATCCTGCCCGGCCTTGCGAAGCATCATCTCTTTCCAGTCTTCGAATGACATGAAGGGCCTTGGGCTTGGTTCCTCGTCGCTACTTATGTCCGTGGGCGGGGGCATCGAAGTTCCGCCCAACGAAGAATTGGCGGCGGCATCTGTCGTAGTTGTCGCATGTTCGGCGCTGAGCTCGGCTGTTGGATTACCCGCGGCGGCATCATAACCAGGTCCTATTCCGTCTGTTGCGGCTTTCTCTCCAGGCCAGCTAGTTTTCAGACACTGCTGTGGGAGGGTGTGTGTGATGTAGTTAATCGTTTTAAATTCGCAAACGCCCACACATGCGTCCGCGGGGTGAGTACTGGATACGGTCGACGGTTGAGCTGACGATTGAACGCAAAGATGTAGGATAAATGCGGCGACGACGGGTAATTGCCTATGCAGCAAGTCCGGGCCGTAGAGCCGCATCTTGTCGCCGAGGCTTTGGCGACAATAGAGCAGGCAATGGCGGTTTAATTGGGTCGTTCATGATACGACAGGCAGCGCGATTATTGCTATAACCATTTGACCGGTTTGTAAACCGTCACTTGGTAATGCTGCGTCTGTGAGTGTGTACCCGGGTGTCAAAGCGTGTGGCAGGCTAATGCTAGACCCCCTACTCACGTAAGGGGCGAAAAAACAGGGTTTCTATATATATAAAAAGGGGTTTTCTACTTATATAACTAAAAATAGTATTTTTATTATTAGCTATTAAATTAATAACTTTTTTTAATATAATATCTTAGCTTTATTTATATAATATAAAAATAAGCATAATATTATTATGGTACTCTTAAGTAAAGCTATTTAGCTATATATATAATATCTATATAGTTATGCTATTTAAGTATTAATAAATTTTAAAAATAACTAAATTATTAGTAATATATTTCTATTCTTTTTACTATTTATATTAATAGAAGTATTATTATATTAAGAGCTAGTAATTAGAGGAGACTAAAGAGTTTATAAAAAGGCGTATTTTATTTAAGAAGAAATTACTCTCTTAAGTATCTTTAAATTATAAGTTTATAAAGCTTATATTAGTTATATAACTTACTCCTTTAGTAAAACTTATTAAAGAAGTTATATAAAGTAGAAGATATATTATAAAATAAACTATTATATACTTCTTTAACTATAATAATAGCTAAAAATACTTTATATATAACTATATGAAAACACTTATTAACTAAAATATTATATAAAAATTAATTATATATATCAAAAATAGAAATACTTTTTTAAGAAAAAATAGTTTAAAAGTTTACTTTTTATAGTATAATTGGAAAAACTTTAATAAGCTTTCTTAATTTATAATATGTTTAGTTAGTTTTATAAATAAATAAGATATTTTTTAAGAAATTAAACTACTTATATAGTTAATACTACTTAAAAGTTTTTTTAATAAACTTAATAAATATTTTATCTTTTATTATTACTACTTATTAGTTTTTATTATAACTTTTAATTTTATTAAGAATATTTATAAAGATTATTTTATATTTATTTATCGATAGTTATTAATATTTTCATTAATATACTCTTAATATTATTTTTAATAAACTTATTAAGTATATTACTTTTACTCTTAAAGATTCTATTATTATAAAGCTTATTTATAAATAAAGTAAAAAAATTAAAGTTAACTGTAAATAGTTTATTCTTATTAATAAGAAGTTTAAAAATAAAAGATTGTTATTAATTCTTTTATAACTAAGGATTATAATGTTTTTATAATTTTTAAAACTTATAAGGAATATACAATTAATATTACTCTTTTTATTAAACATGAAAGCTAACTAAAAGTTTTATTTATAAATATTAATAAATTAAGTAAAGTTTTAAAAAAATAAAAACCTTTTTAAAGAGGATAATAATAATAAACTTCTTATAAGTATTAGAAATATATTTTCTGATGCTTATTATAATACTTTATTAATATTTCTCTAACATATATTTTTTATATTTTTATTAAAGTTAAGTTTTATTAAAATAATAATAATATCATTAACTTTATTTAATATAATAAAAATAATAATTTTTTTTTAGTTTTTATTTCTTTGTTTTATAAATACATATTTTTTTCAAACTTTATATTGCTCATTTTAATAATAATAAGTACAATAATTATATTAATAAGGATAATAAAATGAAATATTTTAAATATATTATTAATAACTTTTATAATAAGAAGTTTTATTTCTATAAATGTTTTTTTAATTGAAAATATTATAATTAATTTTTCTATTTTAGTCATAATAAATATGTAATTATTTTATTTAAAAGTATTTAAAAAGAAAAGTCTAAATATTATTTTTATAAAAATCTTCATTGTTTATATTAAAGCTAAAATTAAAACTTTAAGAGATGTATATTATATTTACTTATAAAAATATTTTTAGCTAATAAATAATAATAATTCTTGACATTTTTATAATATTTAGTAAAATATTTAATAAAAATATAAGTTTTACTTATTTATATTTAGATATTATAGAATTATAAAAGTTTAAAACTATTTTACTATTTATAAATATTTTATTATATAATAGCTCATTATAAATAATTTAATTCAAAAAGAAAACTTATAAAAAGAAAATATAAGTTTTTAAAATTATTACTTTTTATAAACTTTATAAGTTTATAAAGGTTTAAAGTTTATTTTTTATAAAAATTACATAAAGTTTTTAAATTAAATATTTTTTTAATTTATTTTTTAATACTTTATAAAGTAATATTTCTATTTATAAACTTCTTCCATTTCAAATTATTTTATAAATAATATACTTGTTAGCTTTTTTTAAGAGATTCTCTTAATTAATAGTTTATTTAATAATAAGAAATATTCTTTTCTTTTTTTTATATTAATAGACTATTTCTAATAAGTATACTGAATACTTTTTTAAACCTACTTCTTTTCTTATAAATATTTTTTCTATTACGTCTATTTAATAAAAACCCTTTTAGAAATACTTTTAAAAATAAAATTTAATATTTATAATGTTTAATAAGAAATTTTATATAAGTTTTTTTCTAATATTAAGCTTTTTATAGGTTTATTTACATATTTTTAACTATAAAAATTAAAAAATATATTTTGTTTTTTTTAATAACTTATTTTAATTATCTTTTAAATCAATATTCTTTTTTTAGTTTTTTAATATAAAACGTCTATTTTTTTTTAGCTTTATTAGGTTTTATTTTAATCTTAAAATTATTACTTTTTAAAAATTTACTTAGTTATATATTATATATAAATAAGCTTAAATTTAATATTTTGTTTTAAATAACTTCTAAAAAGCTATTATCTTTTTCATTATTTCTATTAAACTTAAAAATTCTATTTTAGTAGTTAATCTTATAACTATTATTCATTTAGTTATTTTTTATTAAATTAATCTTCTAAGTAATGTTATAAAATGTCTCTATAAAAATATATTATTTTATTATTAATAAATGAAGTAATTATAGTTATAAATAACATCTAAATACTTATAAACTAATTTCTTAAAATATTAAAGTAAATCATAAAATAGTAAGTTCTGTATAGATATTATATAATATATTTTATAATAGCTAAATATTTTTAAAATAGATTTATAAAGAATTAGAGTAGAATATTATTATAGATATAATATCTATTTTTATAAATATAATAATATAAAGTATTAATCTAATTATCTTTTAAAATATTTTAACTTTTTATCATATAGTTTATATCTTATTTATTTGAGTTAAACTTCTAAGTAATTTTCTTAATATATAAGTTATGAACTAAAAAGACTTTTTAAGTTTTTTAATATTTTACAACTTTTATTTTTAAATATTATTTCATATCTCTTTCTTCTTTAATTATATATTTTGGTTTACTTTTATTAATAATCTTATAAATTTTATTTATATTGTTTTTATAAAATAAAACAAAAACGTTCTTAATATAAATAATAACTAGAACTTTTTAATTAAAGTTTTGAAAATAATAGAAGTTTATTTTTAAACTTTATAAGTTAAATTTTTCAAAAGTAAAGCTAAATTCTTTATATTATAAGAAAAACATATCTTAAAAGCTAGATGAAGTTTTATTTAATTTAACAATATATCTATAAAAAAACTTTTTTTTATAATATCTTATAAGTAACTAAATCTTTTTTTTTTTTTAAATATTTTTATATTTAAAAATTCATCAATAATATTATATTAATATAGTTTATAATTAAATTATATCGTAATTATTATTATAACTTAAAAGGTTTATAAATAAATGCTACAAAATAAATATTTTTAAGATCTTTTACTTAGAAGTTTTCTTTTCTAATATTTTAAGCTTTTATATCTATAAAATATCTATTTATATTAAGTTTATAAATAAAAATTAATTTTAAAAAGAAAAGTTTTGAACATATTTTTAAATAATTGAAAACTTTTTATATTTTAAAGTTAATAATTTTCTTAAGCGTTTTATAATATATAGTAAGAAATAACTTTCAAAACTACTAGAAAGGTTTTTTAAAAAGTTTTTAAAACTTTTAAAAACAATAATAATTAAATATAATATATTTTTTGAAATTATAAAAAGAAATTAAAAAGAGGTTTTAAAATTAATCTTTTATAAATGTTATCTCTTAGAAGTTTATTAGATCTAATTCTTATTATTTTAAATAATATATAATAAAGTCTTTTATTTTCCTCTATAGTTCTCTACCTTTTTAACATAACAATTATATAAAAGTTTATTCTCTTTTATTTATCAGATATTAAGTTTTTATTCCCTATGTTAATAATATTGTTAATATAAATAATAAAAATATTTTTAAATTTATTCTAATAACTACTTTTTTATAAGAATGAATTTAAATATAAGTTTTCTTTATATATAAATACTTCTTTTTTAGCTTAAAAGGTTTTTTCTATATATCTCTAAGATTAAATTAATTTTTAAAAAGAAGTAAATTCTTATAAGAACTATTCATATTTATTAATTAAAAGTCTTTGATATCTTTTAATAGAGATTTTATTTTACGAATAAACTC